AGAAAGAAAAAAGAAAGAAAGAGAGATAAGAAAAAGAAGTAAGGAGAGAAACACCGCTCCTGGCAGAGCAAACCCAAAGCGAGCAGATCCGAGCACAGCCTGGGCATCTGTGCTGCCCTTTCTGAAGGGTGAAGTTGGGGCTTATGAACAATGAATTCTGGGAAGAAAACTCAAAAGCCTTTTTTATTCCTTCTCAGTGAAGAAGATTCTGTCCATGAAAAGCTTGGGTGCCAGACGCATCTAGCTGTCGCCCTGGTTGTACTTGTCCGCTGTAAGCTCACTTAGGTGTGACATCCTGGACTGAAGACTCTGAGGTCGGACGCAGCTGGTGTAGGTCCTGGTGCCGTTTTTCGCTCTTGGCTTTTGGCAGATTCTTCCATTTATCTAAGCATTGTTTGCATTTGTACAGTAGAAACAAAAACTACCTGGGAGACTTGTGAAAGTGAAACATGAGTTAGTTATACAAGATGTAAAACAGGGCCTGGCATATAATAAGTACCCAAGTAGTGATAGAAGAAGTGGTGGTCATTAATAGCTGCCTACTCCTATCTACCTGCATCGCTATCGTAGTACAATACCCGTGGGCACAGGACAGCAAAAAAAAACAATGTGAATCAAACAGATCTTTTCTCCCCAAAGTAGACCAATCCGTAGACTCCTGGACAAGTCACCTTTCTGGGCTGTTGGAATGGCAGAAATTCGGGGTTTCCGGCCGGGTTCCTTCTCACAGCACTCCCAGGGACAATAGAGCTTTGTTCTGAGTATTTTTGTGACATCTTTCCACCATGCTGAATATGAAGAGGCCATAACAGGAAGAAGGTAACCCATAAAAGAAGAGTTAATGTCAGATTTCATTAGCCAAAGTTGGCTCTGATTTCTTCCTGGTGTTACGAAATTGAGCCAGATTTGCTTTAGCCAAAGGAAATATACCACCCCCCTTAAGATTTATTTTAAAAAGCCAAGAAACAATACATATAGCCAAGGGAGAGAAAAAGAATAAACTAATTTTATATAACGGGAGAGTTATATTTATTATCTTAAAACCAAGCACATCTGAAACCTTTTATTTTGCTACCCATACCTACTTGTTCAACTTGGCTAATGTTTCAGACCTTGTCTTGGTAAATCACCATTATTATTTGGAAGCTTAGTTCCTTAAGTCATTGTAGCATGGCAAAGAAAACCAAAATAAACAGGATTTCTTCCAAGTCTGTTATGTCATAGAAGGATTTTTAAAAATCCACTCAGAAATATGTAAGTGCAGAGTTGGAGCAGGGGCAGTAAAAGCCTCACTAACAGTGTCCTGGAATGTCCTGAGGATGAGCTGACCCTTTTGCTGGTCACCCAGCGTGTCAACAGGAGTGACTTCTCGGGGCTGTCTGAGGCCCTGTCTGTCCCCGCACTTCCGCCGGGTGGAGCGTCCAGCGCCAGCTGCTGGTTGCCGCTGTCAACTGCAATTTCAAGCCTAACTGGGCTCTCAGCCAGTTCCAGCTCCTTGAGATCTGGGGACAGTTTATATGTAATTACTGGAGTGTTAAACAGATTAAGCGTCTAAAGACTAAGAATAAAAAAGGCAGAACTACCAAGGAGTCCAGAAAGGAGGATGAGGCCGCGTCACCCACTCCTGCCCGGCGGCTTCCACTCGTGTTGCCTTGGGGGCCAGCCCCAGTCCATTTCAGCCGGGCGTCTCCCTGTCTCCGAAATGCCGCGTGTCCGGCCCGTCTTTCTGCAAGTGTGCACCCTCATTCTGTCACCCGTGCTCGGCCTGCTCATCACCTTCCACTTCTCCCGGCTTTGCTGGCTCTTTCTCGTAAGCTTGCTGGAGTAGAGGGACACGCACACACGCGGAAACAGAGGCGCCAGTCCAAGCTCCAGCTGCGCTAAAATCAGTCGCTGTGCGCTATCACCGATGTCAGTAATGCCCACTGCAGCGAGCTGCCCGTGAACTTCCCGCTGCCCCCCCCCCCCCCCCCCCCCCCCCCCCCCCCCCCCCGTGACTCTCGGCCCAGGCCCCCCCCCCCCCCCCCCGTGCCGCGCCCTACGCTCTGGGCCACAGTCTTTGGCCGGGGCTGTGCCCTCCCCTGGGCTTCCCTACTGCCCGCCTTCCGCGGACTTCCTGTAGAGGCTGCTCCAAGTGTTCGCCAGGGTTGGACGAGGGTGGTGCGTGTGCGGGTGCCCCCGGCTGTGGGAGCTGGGGAAGAGGCAGGGCGCAGCCTCTGCGTCCGGTCGGCGCGGACCTGGCCCTGCACGTGCTGTCTGCTGTTGCTGTGCCCAGCGTCTGTCCACTAGTGAGACTCCGCCACAGACCGGCTGCGGTGTCACCGTGCCCTGCCCTGCGCTGACTGCGCAAGCCTGCACCTGCCCCGGGATTCGCACTGCCGCAGGGGCCTAGGCTGGCGCAGAGGTCAGGAGCAGGGAGCCCTGGGACACTCGGGAGCAGAGGGAGTGCTGGCGGTGTTTCGTAGAAGAGTGGCTTCTGAACCAAGACCCACAGAACGACCGATGAGGTCGGGGAGCAGGGAGCGAACGGCAGAGGAGGGAGTGTGGAAGCAGGAGACCAGGAAGGCGCACGGTGAGGAGGCGGCGGGAGGAGCGGGCCAGGCCCTGCGGGGCTTTGGCAGCAGTTAAAGGAGCTTGACCGCAGGCCTGGGTTCCCGTCCGAAGCGGGTAGCGGGATGATGAGACTTGGAGGGGGCTGCACGGCACGCTGGCCCTTCTAGGCGAGACTTGTGGTCACAAAAGGGCACCTGCCAGAGTCCTGCAGCAGTGTGTTAACAACTTTTTATCAAAGTTCCAGACCGTTATTTAAATACGTGTTGCCAAGGCTGAAGCTGCCAGCAGACACAGTGCGACTCTAAAGGTGTAAGTTGTCCTTTGCCCTGAGTGTGTGTATCATCGGGTTAGCAAGGCCACAGTAGGTGAATTCAACAGCATGCAAATAATGGCAAAACTGTGATCAGAGGCCGCACATGAGTTTGTACAAATTGGCCCTCTAAGGGTGAGTGGAGAGAGCCGAGGGAAGGCTCGCTGGGCAGAAGGTCAGGGAGGAGCTGGCCGGAGGGGAAGGAGAAACGGACCTGACGGAAAGGAGCTGGTTCTGTGCTGAGCAGCAGGGCTGGAGTCAGGGCTTGACGGGTAGGATAGCGAGGGAGGCTGCTGAGGACAGGCAGGGGAGTCGGGCCTTCCGTAAGACCTGACCAAAAAATTGCCCCATCTCCAAATGCGTTCCACTGTTCTTTCTGCTTTCCAAAGCGGTTCTGGAAGCCCTTTCCCTTTGTGCTGTTCGTGCTGTCTCGTCCTGAGTTGACTCACAGCGTGTAACTTTCACGGTCGGAAGACCGAGACGTTGCGCAGCGCCAGCTCTGGTGAGTGGGGGGGGGCACGCAGCAGAGTGCGTTCGTGAGCCTGCTTTTCTGGTGGATGCCTCGGCACAGTGCTCCCCGAAGTCCCCTCCCAGCTCACAGAGACGCTCCCAGAGGAGGACGTCAGGAACTGCCTCGGAAGGCGGCAGGAGGACAGCATAAGTCTATTCCGCGTGAGGGGGAGTATTGGAGGAGGATTAACGGCCGTGCGTCTCTTACTGTAATAAGTTTTAACTTAAACATTCACTTCTCCTGTGAAATACTTCTAATTACAGTGATCTTTTCTGATTAATACAAATAGCTAAATGGCTTTTTCTTCCTTTCTTTCTTTCTCTACTTTTTCTTTCCTCTCCCTCATGTCCTTCCTTATCTTTTCACATAATTTGGTGAGGTCTTCCTTAAAAGCCTGGCTTTGGAGCCATGTCACACTTTCTGTTAGCCGTGAATAGTAGTTTCTTCTCATCTGCATTTCTGTCCTGTTTACATCTCTGGATCTTTCCTGCTCTCATGCTCCATGGTGACTCTTCCTGGTCATCCTGGAGGGACCAAGTATGAAAATCCCGGAAGCTGGTTCCCTGGGCTGGGGATTGATCTGGCAGGGAGGGTGCTGTTGACTAAGTCATCTTGCTCTTGACATCTGGTTAACGTACTCATATTAGCGTGTTGCTTTTCGAGCTTTATTGTTGTAGTTTAGGCTGCTGTGATAGAGTATCCTAACTGGGTGGCTTCATCGGGGATTGTATCCTCATAGTTTTAGGGGCTTAAGGAGGGCAAGATAAGGTATGGGCAGATTCAGTGCCCGGTTAGGAACCATTTAGATTAATAGAAACAATCTTCTCAGCCAGGTGTGGTGGCACACACCTGTAATCCCAGCACTTGGGAGGCTGAGGCAGGCAGATCAAGGGTTCAAGGCCAGCCTGACTATATGGTAAGACCCTGCCTCAAAGAAAGAAAGGAAAGAAGGAAAGAAGGAAGGAAGGAAGGAAAAGAAGGAAAGAAATAAGATAGAAAGAAAGAAAGAGAAGGAAGGAAGAAAGGAAGGAAGAGAAGAGGAAAAGGAAAGCACCTTATTTGCCATGTCCTTGCCTGGTGGAAGGAGCGGGCAGTTCTCTGGGCTCCCTTGTGAGGGCATGAACCTGTTCATGAGGCTCGAGCCATCGTCACCTAATCGTCTTTTAACAGCTTCACGCCCTAATACCATCACACTGGGGATCGGGAGTTGAACATATGAACTGGGGGAACAGAAGCATTCAGACCATAGCATGTGTTTTTCTCATCTGAAAAACGGAGATAAGGATGTCTGTATATCAACATGAAAACGTAGTAGGGCTTTAAAAAGATTTGCCGCACCTTAGTAAATGTGTAGACATTTTGCTATTTAAAAAGAAAAAAATAATAAAAAGAGAATGGCCATGACTGGACTTCTGCCTGGGGTAGGGCAGTTTATTTCAGAAAGGCCTACTCCACACCGGAGATTTTGATTTACCCCATTCTAAAACCTTAACGATCAGAATCAGGTGAAGAGCTGCAGATTTCCGGAATGCGCGATTTCTGGTTTGTTAGGCTGGCTGGGGGGCTTGGGTTCTGGTTCCCCCACGGCACACTGTGTGCGCACGGCGGGGCCTGTTTCCGTTTCAGATCGCAGAGGGCATGGCCTACATCGAGCGGAAGAACTACATCCACCGCGACCTGCGGGCGGCGAACGTGCTGGTCTCCGAGGCGCTCATGTGCAAGATCGCAGACTTCGGCCTCGCGCGCGTGATCGAGGACAACGAGTACACGGCGCGGGAAGGTGCGCGCTCGCCCGGGCGCTTCGCCGCTGTTACCGGCGCACTTCTTTCACTCTTCTCTCTTTCTGTGAAAGCACTTCCAGTTCTTTTCAGTACTGGGTCTGAGCTCAGGGCTTCATACTGGGGGGTATCTTTTTATTTTTTGAGACAGGATCTCGCTAAGTTGCCCAGGCCGACCTCAAATTTGTGATCCTCCTGCCTCAGCCCCTCAGATAACGGCTATTACAAGCACGTGCCCCTGCACCCCGTGAAGCCATCATTTAAAAAAAGTATTTAGTACAAATTCAAAATGTACCACAAGTGTCTGTTGATGGTTCTATTGTAATTTTTAAAAAGCACTTTCTTGATACAGTCCAGATGATTCTTTTATAGCTTCATAAATACTATTACTTTTATATCAGTTAAGCAAAGAGAAACAAAAATAGGTTTGACAAGATCAAAATTCTTTATTTATATTACAGAGTGAGAGCTTTTCACTGAAATAATGAAATGTACGCACTTTCCCTAACTGTAGAGAAAGCATTTGTGTCTTACGTTCTTCATGGTACACTGTGGATGCTGTCCCACACAGAGAAGTAAATATTACCAAAATGCATTCCTTTATTTGCCCATATTCCACATCGTACGTGTGAACAGAAAGGGTGCATAGCACTGGGTGCAGTGGTCCGCACCTGTGACCCCGGCTCCCTGGGAGACTGAGGAGGGAGGGTCGTGAGTGTGAGCTCAGCACAGGCAGCTTAGTGAAGTAAGGAGACCCTGTCTCCAAGTGAAAAGCTCAGTAAGGTCAGGGAGCGCAGCTCAGTGTGAGGCCCTCCGGGACAGCGTGCGCAGGGCGGCAGGCGTGTGCTCCCGGTCAGACGGTGCCGTGCCCTGGCCTACCTCAGCCCCTCCGTGCCAGTGCCCGCCTTTCACTGGTGTTTGCACTGTGCCACACACATGGCTCGCCCACTCGACCCCACCACAGCCTGGAGAGGTCCGCGCGTTTCCCGTTCGGCAGGTGGAAGCACGAGAAAGGCCCAGAGAAACTTGCCGGGATCACAGCAAGCAGGCAACGGCAGAGCTGAGATCAATCCCTGGCCCTGAGGACCCGAGGCCCCAGCCCAGCCCTGCCCACCCCACGTGCCCCGGGTCGTGGGGATGGGACGGGTGCAGGAGGGTGTGACAGCTCCCAGCACACCACAGCTGTCCCGCCAGGCCCTCTGTGCTATTCGTCCTCCAGCTGGTCAGACACAACAATCCTCAGGCAGCAGCATAATAAAAGCAGTCTTTTCAGTGCTTGGTAAAAACCCTAAGCCTTGTCAGGGCGCTGTCGTAACACTCTGTACTGAGCCCCTGCTTGCCTTGACGGGCGCTCACGTTGCCCCAGGTCAGCAGGTCCGTCCCTCGTCCCTCAAGCTGGCTGCCAACTCCTGGGAACATCGTTTCACCATTGTCACATTCAGCGCAGAGCATCCTCCTCAGGCTTACAGCTTTGATATGTTTTGTCCTAGCAAATGAGAAAGTGGGAAATGATCATTTGGAGTAGCATCTGAAATTCCTGTCGGTACAGATTGGAGATATATATCCACAAAAGCATACACATTAGAAAAATATTTCTATTCCACCTGAGGGTGCAGCTCGGTAGTAAGTGTATGCTTAACCTGTGTGAGGCTGTAGGTTCAATCCCTAACACGAATCAGTGAGAAATAAAAGACATTTGTATCCCATGTAAACATAAAATGGGTTCATTAGAGAAACACTGGACATGTTTTTCTTTTGGTGTGGGGGTCTCACTATGTTGCCCAGGTTGGCCTTAAACTCCTAAGCTCATGCCTCAGCATCCAAGTAGCTGGGACCACAGGCGTGCATCATGCCTGGTTCTAAAAAACAATTGAACACTAAAGATCTATGGTTTAAAGGCTGGTGTTTGAGGGACAACCATATGCACTGAAACTAACGAGTGAATTTCTTTATATTCCATATCATGTTCTTTTTTTATGTTTAAGGTTGCCTGGTTATAATAGTTCCCACCCTGGGAGGGAGGTTACACATGAAACTATGCTTCCAAAGGCGCAATACCCGCAGGAAGTAGGAGAAGGAAACAAATATTTCAGTGTAATATTTTGTTCCATCTCCATTTGGTACTGTGTGTGTCATGTATTCAAATTTTTAAAAAATATTTTAAGTAATTTTAATCAAGAGAGCAAAGTGTCCGCCATCCATAACATTTTGTTTGAGCTGCAATGCCCAAGTAAGGGTCCCATGTCTTCTTCCGTAGGTGCTAAGTTCCCCATTAAGTGGACGGCTCCAGAAGCAATCAACTTTGGATGTTTCACCATCAAGTCTGACGTGTGGTCCTTTGGAATTCTCCTGTATGAAATTGTCACCTACGGAAAGATTCCCTACCCAGGTATTGCTCCTCTGTTTCCGTTCAGGCGAAATGTATGACATAAGCATCGAGTTGCAGAAGGCATTTTTAAAAAAGCCTCCTCTGTCCAAAAGGAAAGGATTCACACTTCATATCAGAGCTGGATTCTCCTTTAGTGGGCATTGTGCTACCATGTGCCTAGCTACTCCTCTGCCACCTTTATTGAGTGCATACTCCTTTCCTGCCCGCATTCACTGCACACTTACCCAGAGCCCAGAGAGTGCTTGGTACCGTTGTGGGTGCTGGGGTGACCCTGGTGCTCCCCAGAGGGGTGTTCCAGTGGAAGAGGAACGAGATGGGAGATGGGGATTTCCAATGCCTTCTGTTTAGTTTTGGACCGGAGGCTTTGTGTAAGTGCTGTGGAATCTCTGCCTCTTCAGGAAATAACTGTCTTTATTTATCCGTGAATGATCTGATCTTTGTTTTCCTGGTGTCAGTGGAGACATTGGTCAGTAGCTGCGGATTCCCTCCTTCCCCCTGGGCATATGCTGTTCTGGATCAAAGAGGAATTCCTTCCAAAGCCTTCACTGTCCCCTTACTATTTCACTTCTAACAAAATCTGTGGGCCGGATGAATTTAAAATTCTACATTTAGTGTTTAAGTCAATATTTCGTTCAGTATCTGTCTCGCATGTCAGGCACTCTTAGGGGACCAGAGATGCAGTGGTCCCTGCTCTGCCCTTGGGAGCCAGTGTTCCCATGGGCAGAGACTGGTGCTGTCAAGCGCATTTCCGTCCAGGGATGCCAGGGGTGCTGGAGGGTGTGTGAAGGGGTTAACGAGACTTGTGGAGGCAAGGGTGGGGGCTGCTGGTTTTATCCAGCGGAACTCAAGGAGGTGAAGGAGAGACACTTGTGGCTTTCTAGGGGCTGAGTGTCCCGTAGGGGGTCACCCAGGCCACGAGGCTGGGCAGCAGGGCTGGGAGACCAGTGCAGTTTGGGCCTCAGGGAGCGTTTGATGGATGAATGAATGACTTGCCTAGGTCGTTTAATCACAAGTTACAGCCATGGAGGAGAAAGGAGGACAGAGCAGCAGAGCAAGCCAGTGCCTTGGGGTGCCGTAGTGACCCAAAAGGGTTGATGGCTACACGAGAGCTTCCCATCTCTCTCCACAGGAGAGGGAGCCAGGGAGGGCTTTCAGACAGACCGGTGCCGCCAGGGGTATGCTCCAGTCACCCCCCCCCATGTGTGGACGGCCTCAGGAAGGCTGGGCCGGGGACAGCTCAAAGCAGAGATCTCTGGATGGTGCCCGCACAGCGGGCTGATGGGCCCAGGAAATCCCTCTCACGCGGCTGTTTCATAGTCTAACTCCTCCCTGTGCTAAGTGCTCAAGTTAGTGAACTGACACTGCTGTAAAGTGTGACAGGGTTTCTGATCAGCCCTAACGCCTGACATGTTCTCTCTCTCTCTCAGTCTCTCACTCTCTCTCTGTCTGTCTCTCTGTGTCTCACCTCTATCTCTCTCACTCTTAACTCTCACTCTCTCTCTGTGCTGGGGATGGAACCAGGGCCTCAGGCATGCTAAGAAAGCACTCTACCACTGAGCTACCCCCCAGCAATATCTCTATTTCTGCTTCCATCTGTGTTTGTATTTATCTCTCTGTAGGGAGGAAAAGATGATCTATTTGGATTACACGTAATGGTAACTGACAAAGCTATGACCTCACAGAACAAGGCCATGTCTTTGTACAGTGTGCTGTGTGTCATGTTCCGCCAAGGCTTCAGTGGCTCGGGAGAAGTGACTGGGCTTCTGGCTGAGGCAGGACTACAGAGACCTGTGTCCCTCCTATGTCTGTCCCTCACCTAGTGTGATCAGTGCCCAGGATTTGGGAATATTTGGGGTGAAAAATCATGTTAAAAATAAAAGAACCAGTAGGAAAATGATAAGAGTCATTTTAAAAACGTATGTACTCAAACCAACCCCAAACCATCGCTAGGTCTGTTCCCCAACAGCTTGTGCTTTTCAAGGGATGTGGGTGTGAGGGCCTTTGGGGGGCTGCATCAGTAATCATGAAAGCATCAATAATCATGAAAGCAGTAGCAATGATGAGCAGAATCGATTCTGTAGAACTTGATAAACACTGCCAAAATGTGCCGTTTCCCATCAGCAATGAAACCGCTGATCGAGAGATTCCTGTCCTAGGTGGGTTGTGAGAGAAGACCCTCTTTGCCCAGCAAAGAACTAGATGTGTTAAGGTCTTTCCTAAAAGTGCTTCAGGGGCCATGTGCCTGGTATTGCCAAACAAAAAGGAAATTAAAGAAAAGAGGGGAAACAACAAAATAAATAGTAAAGCCACACATGAACCGGACACATATTTGTAAAAGAAAAAAGATCAAAAGCCATGATTTACTAAAGTATTACTTACTAGCCTTGGGCAAAGAAGTAGTAAGTTGTATTGATCAACCTTCCATCACTCAAAATACCTGACACCTGCCGTGTAAAGGAGGAGAAACTTATTGTGACTTCAGGGTTTCAGGGTTTCGGTCCCTGTCGGCTGATGGAAGGGGATGGCTGGGCAAAGCCGCCGGCCTGGTGGCCCTGAGGAAGCAGAGTGAGCAGGAGCAGAGACTGAGGAGAGAAGGCCAGAGATAAGGTGGAACCTGAGGCCATCCGCCCGTGACCCGCCCAGACACACCCAGAAACAGCGTAGAAACGCCCTAGGAGTCTCTCAATCCACTCAGATTGACAAGATTATAAATTACGTTAAGTTTCTTCTTGGTAAATTTCTGAAGTTTTTCACAATGACATTTTTATTAAATAACATTATTTTTACCGAGGAATACACACACATTAAAAAGCTAGGTGGTGCCAACAAGCTTCTAGTGAAAGGTGCTACCCAGGGCCCACCCTCCTGAAGCTGTCACAGAAAACCACTTCCAGGAATTTTGGTTATTTATTCTAGTACTTACAGCCCATAGTTGTAAATATTATACCATTAAATCTTTAATAAAGTAGGGGGTTTGCATTTTACTTATTACTGAGTAAGAATATGGTCATGTGGTTCAAAATGCAAGAGACAGAACAAGGAGATGTGGGTGGAAAGTGTCCCTCCCTTCAGCCATGCAGGTCCACACCAGAGACACCCGCTGTTGCTAACTTCTGCACCAGTTACTTCATAAAAGTAGAACAGCGCAGTGTCCGCCCTTTGTACCGGGCTTGTTCCACCAGTGGCCTGGACACAGCTCTTGCTTTTTCATGCTGAGCCCGCATCCTTTCTCCTAGTTTTTGTCCTGCTTCCCCTCCCAGCCCCTGGACCTGGAGCTTCTGAGCACTGAGCTTCTCCGTTACGTTTGTTTTAGTCTGCTTTCAGCTGTTATAACAGAATAGCTGAGGCTGGATAACTTGCAAAGGAAAAGGGTTATCTGGGCTCATCCTTCTGGAGGCTGAGAAGTGCAAAGGCGTGACCCAGGCGGGAGCTCAGCTTCGGGGGGGCTTGTGCTGCCTCAGCATGGTGTGGCAGGAAGCAGAAGGGGAGGTGGGTTCCTGCAGGAGAGCCTGAACTAGAGGGGCAGCCTCACTTTACAATCCCACTCCTTTCCTGGCAAGGGGTACTGTCCCTGGAGAGGGAGCACCCACTCCCGTGAGGAAATCATCGATCTCTGTTAACAGCCCAGTCACCTCTTTGCAGCTCTCTCTCCTACTGGCACAACTGTCACTACTGTCACAGTGGCAGTCAAATTCCCATGGGGGGGCACATTCACCCCATAGCAGCTTCTCTGGTGTTTGCCAGGCAGGCTCCAGGTACCATCCTGTCTGCAGCCCCGGGCCTCATCCTCCCACGAGGGCTGTGGTCTTCCAGGCCTCACCCTCTCCTCAGCTCAGACCCCTTCTGCCTCTGGCTGCCAGTTTCACCAAAGGGGGAGTTTAGTTTCCACTTCTTGTTTTTGTTTTGTTTTGTTTTAGGGTGAGTTACATGGGGAAATGAGAAGGGAGGTAAAAGATTTTCTTTACTCTCTTAAAACAAGAACTGTGATTCTATTTCTGTAAGAATTTCATAAAGAAAAAACGTGAGTCCCAGTGGTTGGAGTTTTGTTTGGCTTCTATAAAGAAAAAGAAGGTTTAATAATGAGATTTCTGAAGCATCATGTCTTTTCTGCCTGTTTCCCACAGAGAGAGCCAGGATCTTAGTGCTCTGTGTAGACGCAGATCAAAAATTCACCCTTCCGCGCACAGCTGCCGCAACCACGAGCAGCGGCCAGGGGCAAGAAAAATAGTTTGCCCTTTTGGAAAGAGGGTCACTGGGCGGGAGACTGTGGCCTCGGGCAGCGGATACTCATTCTCCTTCTCCCTCCCTCCAGAAGCACACGAACTCTGTGTCATTAAAGACTGTTGAGGTCGGGGAGCTGGAGGTCCCATCACCCACCTCTGGTTCCTTTTCTCGTCACAGTGTGCCATATTTTCCTCTTCCGTACAACCCTTTACCAGCTTAGTTTCTGTGACTTCTTGCTCACTCCAGAGGCCGCAGCATGCCCGCCCCCCCGCCTTCCTTGGGTGAGGGAGGTGACGTCTCTGTGTACCACTCCGTCTTGATCATCTCTGCCTGTCTCAGAGCCTAGTGCTGTCTCGTGACCCATGGTGACTGTCGCCAAGTCCCTGGACAGAACGAGAGTGCTCGTGTTGTCACAGATCACCAGCCAGTGGGCGCTTGACCTCGCCACAGACCAAGCGCCAACTGTCAAGAGTCATCTCGGGGTTGCGTCAGGTGTCTCATTCCCTCTTTTGCTTTCTTCTCTGACACTTGTCGTTTAGCGGCTCTAGTTCCTTCGTTTACTTATGCACAAGAAGACAGGCTTCAGATTCTTTTTTTCTGACTCCACTAATCAAGTCCTCCGGGCGGGTAGAGCATGCCTAGCCTTTGTCTGCATCATTGAGCGTTTTCTTCAGAGTTAGAACAAAGTCAAAATCATCTGCGGTGCAGCCGGGGGACCCGGGGAAGCCCGGGGAAGCCACTGCCTTCTGTATTCTGACAGTTTATGCAACTGGGGATTCTCCAGAGAGGAAGGGAAAGATTCCCAGCCAGGTTGGAAGTCCCGTTGCCCCATTTCCCCACCAGGATCCCAGAGCTACACTCATGCGGGGGTAAGAACAGTTCCTCTGAAATTTACTCAGGTGACTTTGGCTGGTTAGAAGAATTAGAGCGATGCTGAAGCTACATCATTTTGTGAAAACCCAAACTCCAGATGAAGAAAGGAATGTAAACCCACTTTCTAGCTTTAGGCAATGAAGATCAAACAAAACCTTCCACATAGAAAATTCCAGTTACACCAAATAGTTATCAGTGGTATTCCAGAAGTAAACTTGAGAGAAATTAATTCACCAGGCGAACAGCTCTCAAGGGATAAGAAATGATTGCAAAGTTTACTTGGATCTTTCCATTTAAAAACTAGAGCTCTTCCAACAGAAAAACAACCACGTCCTCTTTTCAGAGCTTTAAATCTAGGCGGGGCTGTTCAGTCCCTGTGTGCTGAAAATGGTCTGCTGAGGACCCAAGGTCTCAGACCTCAGTGATCGCAAGCCATTGTAAGCACACGGAAACCCACTTTAGATCTTTTCTATGTAATTTGTTGTAATTCAGGTTTTAAAAAATACTAGTAGTGTCCCAAGAAATTAATTTACTGATGCTGACTGGGTAGTGATCTATATTTGAAAAACCTTGATTAGAAAAAAAATTTAGAGCTTTTATTTGAATTCTAGTAAAGCTGTTTTCTCCAAAATGATTACCTGTCTTTTAGAATTTTTCCAGCGATCACTGGTGTTACAGTCTATAGCAGTGATGGGCTGGGGATGTAGCTCAGGGATAGAGCACATGCCTAGTATGCCCGAGGCCCTAGGTTCAACCCCCAGCACCACAAAAAACAAAAAAAGGAAAAGAAGGAAGGAAGGAAGGAAGGAAGGAAGGAAGGAAGGAAGGAAGGAAGGAAGAAAGAAAGAAAGAAAGAAAAAAGAAGAAAGGAAAAGATCTGTACCTATGGAAATTGCCTATTGCCTATGATGAATGCCAAATATTATAGAAGATTATTATATGTTCTGCATGAAAAATCATCTCTAGAGAAACTCATATCTCTACAGAAAATACGTCCAAAATATATGCAAAACTTATAGATAAAGATGCAGGTGGCTAAAACTGCTAAAAGAGCCCGTTTTCTATCCCCTTCAACAATGGGAGAAAATATTATTAAAGTACTCTTCCCCTCAAAACCTGTTCTTAGTTCAGAGACCTGCAGTTCCCTGAGACCGCGTCAGAATCCAGCCTGCATTACCAGTCCTCTCGCAGGACTCCGTAGGAATAACGAGTGCGTTATTATTCCTCACCTGATGTTGAGAACATGCAAATTCCAGACTCACCGATGTACTTTGACTCTGGCCAAGAACTGAGGACTGGGACAATTTAATCTCTGTGTGAAATAGTTTCACTGGAGGGCTAGGACTTAGAGCCGTTGTTCCTTCTGTCATTACCTTGCTCTGAGAAGACAAAGGGTCCCAGAAGAGACAGGACACAAACTACAGACAACTGTTCTTCAGATGGCCCAAGCCATGCGTGATTCCTTTCCAAAGCAATCTTAGATTTATAGTCACTTGGCAATCATATTATCAATTAGTCTGGTTGGTTGCTGACTTTAAATTTACAATGAAAAGCCAAATTTTAAAAAATAAAATGTAGGGGATAATGTGTGAAAAAATAATTTCTTGATAAATGTATTATAGGTAGAAGCTAAAAAAAAAAAAAAAAAAATCTACCTTACCAAAGAAATTGAGATTGGGAATTACCGTTAGGTTTGCATGGTGAATTTCAAAGGTCAGTCAAGTCTAACATCCTTTCATCCTTAAAGAGAACTTGCTTTGCCTTCAACTCACTGCATTAGCTTGGTTTTGCTTTGGCAAACTGAATTCAGCCTTTATTTCCCATGCTATCATGTATTATTGGGCCCCTTAGAGCAATCCCTTTGTTCTCTATGTTAGTTTGCTAGGGCAGTGATAACAGATACTACAGAGTAGGTAATTTAAACAGCAGAAATTTAATTCACACAGCCTGGAGGCTGGAAGCCGGCGACCAGGGTGTTAGCAAAGGTCTGTCTCCTTAGCTTGAGGGAGGCCTTCTTCTCCTGGGAATTTCACATGGTCCTTCCTCTGTGCATGTCTCCGTCCTAATCTCTTCTTCCTCTGACACAAGACATACTGGATTAGAACCCCACCCTCATGACCTCATTTTAATCTAATTACTTTGTAAAGGCTTTATTTCCAAACATAGTCACATTGAGGGACCTGCGGTCCACACTTCCACCTGTGAATTTTGGGAGCACACACTTCATCCCGTAACAGACACAAGAGAGCTCTCTTCCATCATAGGGGCAGTGTGTGAGCAGCAAACACCCTCACCAGAGTTCCCCTCTAGTCAGGTTCCTAAATGGCATGGTTTTTTTTTGTTTGTTTTTTGGCCTCAGGGAGAACCAATGCAGACGTCATGACCGCACTGTCCCAGGGCTACCGGATGCCCCGCATGGAGAACTGCCCCGATGAGCTCTATGACATCATGAAAATGTGCTGGAAAGAAAAAGCAGAGGAGAGGCCGACCTTTGATTACCTACAGAGCGTCCTGGATGACTTCTACACTGCCACAGAGGGGCAGTACCAGCAACAGCCATAGTGCGCCGGGAGACCTGTCCATCCTACAGGATGGCTGCGTGACTGGAGGAAAACGTACCGGCACTGGTGCACTTGTTACCTCGTGTGCTGCCGTCTACCACGCCTGGCTCCTGAAGGGAGAGGCCACGGTGCTCAGGAAGAACAACCTGGCCCAGGAAAGTGCTCTGTTCTCTTAGACGCACGTCCGCTGGGATGAACCCGGATTGCACCTCAGCTGACCATCGGGCTTTGTGTGACCAACGTCGGAATACAGCCTCCAAGAAGAAGACACACCCGCCCTCCAGATGTGTCCCACACTCGCCCAGCGCTCACGGCTGGATGTGCAGCTCAAAGGTTGAGAGTCTGCTGCCACAAATCTACAATAATAGCCAAATTTAACTCATCTATAAAGCAGAAATAACCAGATGCATAGCACGACACCTGACATTTTCTCTGTGCTTTGACTTACTTTATGAAATTACTAACCCGACCTGTTAGATTTTACAGGTGACATCCGCAGCTTAAAAAGGCCTATCCCAGATTTCAGTGTTTCTCTTTTAGGGGTTTTATTTCCCACCCCTCAGAATCTAAGACCGTTAAACATGGTCCTCCTGGAGCAGCTGATCAGAGTCACCGCTGAGGCGACAGCCACCTGGCACTGTGCTCCTGCAGGAGCTTCGCTTGCGGCGTGCGGGCTGTTGGGTCCTGAAGTGGAGCCTGACTGTGACACCACCTTACGACCCCTGTCAGGACAGAAGAGCCTCAGGAACTGCTCTGCCTTACGGAGGAGTATTTTTAACTGCCTAATCTTTTTAATTGCTCAATTTCCTAGATAAAGACTTGTTTTGACTGTTATATGAAAGAATAGTAAGATTCTAATCTCTGCAGAGCCTTACAGGGCTTTTTCTAAAACAAGCGTTTCCTTTTTGCTTCACGTGATTGGAACATTATTTTAAGGATCAAGTATTAATTTAGCTGTACTCTAGAAAGTAAAAATGCCATATTTTGGGCTATTTTTGTGATTCAGCAGTCTTTTCTAAATTGTATGAGATTTGTGTGAGACTATTTATACCCAAGGATATGAAGAAAATAAAGTCAGGCAGCTCCTTCGGCTGCCATGATGAGAGAGTTGAGAGGTTTTGTTGGCCGGGTTTTGTACTGTAAGTCTGAGTGCACGGCTCTGTCCCATCATTTCATGCTTGCTGTTCTGTGTATACCTAATAATTTTATTTTTATTTTATTTTAATATATGTGGCCCAGTAACAACTCCAGCTTTTTTTTTTCTTGTGTTTACCATTTCCAGCTATTGGCGATGTGAAGAAGTACCAGTTGGTGGGAGGGGGTGGGCAGAGTGTCCGCTTAGCTAGATGATTACACCTGTGAAGTCCTACCTCCAGCCTTGACGTTGCAGCCCACAGAGCTGAGGGATCGATGCCCTGGACTCCTGAACATCCCTCGGTGGGGCCCAGATAGAATTTTCTTGTTTTCGAGGCAGTGTCTCACCATGTAGTCCAGGCTGGCCTTGAGCTCACTGTGTAGCCCAGGCTGGCCTCAAACTCATGGTGATCCTCCTGCCTCAGCCTCCCGAGTACTGGAATTACAGGTGTGCACCATCATGCCCAGCTAGATAGGATTTGTTTTTGAAAAAAGTTTTGTAAGCACCAACAAAATTTTATTTTTTATGTTTTGTTTATGTTTCAGTTGCCTAAGGGAAGGGATCAAATAGCCTACTTTCCCTAAATGTAACCTTTCCTTTTCCTATGTGATTTTTTTAATGTCCTCTATGAAGTATTCTAAAGTTCTCAATTCACAATTGCCATATTCACAAACATAGAATGTAGTCATCGTATAACGTCTACATAGCTGGATGCTTAATTCACAAGGGTAAGTTTCCTACCCACACCGCCCCCGTTCACATTTTATTTCAGAGCGCAGTATATTACAGGGAAAGGAAGTAGAAAGAATTCTTAAGGCAAAAAGAGTCCTCCAGGAAACTAGAATTGTATCCTCACCCTCTTTGTGTGTCTCTCCGTCCGGCTTCCTTATTCCATCCTCCGTCTGACTTCCCCCCTCAGTCAGGCCTTGACCCTTCCCTCCTCCGGTCTCCCTCGTCAGCAGCAGCCAGCGCAGAAGCGCGGCCCGAGCCTCCTCCAGCGGAAATGCCGAGCAGGGCCGCGGGCAGCCCTGTCGTGAAGCACGTAAAGGTTAATGAGAGGAGGGGCTGTCTCCTTACACCGTGGATGGATCCGGAGCCCCGAAACAATTACAATCTCATGTCCAGTTCTGCTTGTGGCGACTGCTTTCACTTCATCCTTCCCCTTATTCTCATAAACCACATCCAGGCGCGGTCGCTGCTCTAACATCCTCAGTGCTCAGCGCCAGCTTTTGAGAGGTTCCACTCAATTCAGTGAATGCTCACCCTGCTGCTGGGCCCCCCGGCCCTTCTGACTTCAACTGCTAGGTTCCGCAGCCAGCTCATAAATGTTCCCCGCATTGTCCGCTAAAGGCCTTCCCAGGTGAGACCCTAGCTCCAGCGCTCCCTTGTCCTGTCTTCCTTTATTTTTCTCTCTGCCTGGTGGAAGGGAGTCTCCACATTTTTATTACATGAAATTTTTAGACGAAGTAAAACTGAGCCTTGCTGTTCTTGCTGAGCAGTGAAGATGTCTTTACACCAAACATTTGATAAGAGTTCTCTTCTGGGCTTTGGCACTTTATAAAAACCAGCCCTGAGTCACACCCTGGAAGAGCTGGAAGATGCTATCAGCAAAGGTGCATTTAAAGCCACAAAAAGAATAAATTGTCTTTGATTTGTGTTGTTTCCTTGTAACATAAAACTGATGAAACACCATTGTGGTGGTTGGGTGCTCTGTCTGGGAAAGGGAATATTTACAAAACGCTTTATCAGAGTTCACATAGACATGATGAGAAATCCCCATACTTGAGGACAAAAAGTTGCATGGATTAAACTGACCACACACACTTTTCAAGAAAATCTGTAGGGACAACACTTTGGAATAAAACGTTTCAAGAATATTTTTGCTCTATTTCATTAAACTGGATACAAATTTTTATCAAGAAGTTCTGCCTTGCTGCCTGTAGGAGAATAAAGACTTCCAGTTTAATTTCCTGTGTTCCTATGAATCCACTAAATACTTGAGGTAAGAGCACCAAAAATGTCATGGGGCCACCAACATGGCCACGCTGTGATCGTAAATGTTTACCTTAAACATGGAAATGGTAGGAACAACCCCTGTGAGTTTATCTCTAGGTCACTGGAAAGAAAAATCTGGACCGGCTGAAGTGCAGTCTTCACTCAGCACTGCTGGACTCACGTGGCCCCGTGTGAATGGCACCAGAAGTAGAAGACGTGTCACAAACCAGGAAAATTCTCCGTAGACTTTGTTTATTATTAAGCTAACACTGAGAGTGGGTGATAGGTCCTTAATTCCTTATCTGCTTCCTAAGACTTGCTATGTTTTAAATTTCAGTTTTTTAAAAGAGTAATGGAATGAGTATGTTGAATATTTAGTGGTAAAATCCCAGTGAGCACAAAATAGTAACTTAGTCAAGTAAAGCATTTCTACAGAAAAATACCTGAATATTCCTACGTAAGTGAGATGAATACAGGCTATTCTTAGGTTCAGATCAATTTTTACCACCAAAGAAGTTCTTTAACAGTCTTTTGGTTTTCCCAGTCTTTTGGAGTTCAGGTTGTGGCAAGGGGACATAGCTCTGTATTCTGATGGCTTGGAGGATATAGAAGAACTTTCAGTCTCAGCGCTGCGCTGGGTTAAAGTGGAGTGCATCCAGATGATGACTGCTCAGAACGCTCTAGGCGGGATGCAAAGTGCAAAAAGAAAAGATAAAAATTATTTGCACTTCCCTTGGAAGCAGTAGTCAATCAATAATATAATCTCTACCAATACTGTCTCGGGAGGGTCTGATGAACAGCAGTGAAAGTGGGGCAGGCTGGCTGTTTCAGTCACCCCAAGTTACTCTGGGACTCGAGGGAACTGAGCAACGTGGTCCTGGGTCTCTCAGGAGGTTGAGAAGGCCGCACGCAAAATGAGGCGCTCATCACGCGGACGTTAGGACACACGGGAGTGCGGCGCTCCGTTCTGCACAGCTGGCGGTGGCGGCCCAATCTGCAGTGCTCTGGGCACCTCACTCGGGGTGGGCAGTGGTGACCCGAAAGGACAGGGACTAAGCTGCTACCTTGTGCTCACTGGGATTTTACCACTAAATATTCAACATATTCTTTCCATGGTTCTTTTTTAAAAACTGAAATTCAAAGCATAGCAAGTCTTACGAGGCAGGTAAGGAATTAAGGACCTATCACCCATTCTCAGTGTTAACCTAATAATAAACAAAATCTGCTTAGAATTTTCCTGGTTTGTGACATGTCTTCTACTCTGGTGCTATTCAGATGGGGCCACTTGATTCCAACAGGGCTGAGTGAAGACTGCAGATCAGCAGCCATCGATCGATGTTTCTTTACTTGATGATACGGAATGAAATCTCTTTAAAATATTTGCCTGTCAAAGAAATATGCTTTGAATGCTCTGTAAAACTTTTCTTTTCACTGCACTTAGCTTTCTATTGGATTCTCTTTGGGCTAATAGTAGTCATTCCATACAGGGCTTTATGGAGCATTTTGCTGTCGTATAGGAGCCTCAGATATGTGAGGGACTGTCCTAGAGACTTTTCTCACTGCTGAAACCACATGTGTGACACCAGAGTTAAAGGAGGAAAGGCGTATTGTAGCTCCAAGTTTGCAGAAGTTTCAGTTCGTAGTCAGCTGGCTCCAAGGCAGGGTGGCAGGGCAGAGGGCATCACAGAGGAGAAACAGTTCATGGCAGGCAGAAGGCAGCAAAGTAGCGAAGCAGCAAGCAACAAGCAGCCCTCTAGTGTCCCTTACATTCTGTCCAGGTTACACACCCTTAGTAGGTAGCAGTCATGCCTAGGGTGGACCTTCCCCTACCCACACCCAGAACTATGCCAAACCCATCGGTAGACTAATTTAGTGATCACACAGCCTTGATCCCAGCATCACACACTCCAGATCCAGCCACCTCTGACAACCTCCACCTATGACCGCGTGAGGCTTGTGGGGACAGCTAGACACAGCCGTAACAGGGACGTGAACCCTAACCTTAAATTCCTTGTGTGATGGCAACAAGTACAACAATGGCAGAAGGTAGAGCAAGGAAACTGTTCTAAATGAGAAAAACCAGGTACAGAGCTTGAGGAAGATCCTTCTAAGGGGATCACCGCGCTGGTTCGAATGACAAGGAGAGATAAAGTCTTCCTTCAACGTCAGACAGGGCACTCCGCTAAAAAGCAGACTTCTGGGAGAAGCTTCAAGGAAGGTTGCAGTGGGGAAGGGGCAGGGGAGGGGAGTAAGGATGCATCAGAGGACGGGGCTCCCACACTGGAGGAGTGAGGGTCACAGCCCCAGAGTCACCCAGAAGGCGCATTGTAGGACACCACTGGGCCCACCTTACAGTGTGTGACCTAGAAGTAGCAGCTAATACTGCTGGTCCCTTTGAGACGCAGGGATGACAAGGTGCTTACAGGCGGAAAAACCAGATGACCATAGTGAGGCCACATCTTGAAGAAAACACAGGCTGCAGAGGAGCAGTGGACCTTTAGACGGCTCTGGGGAGCACAGCGTAAGGAGACACTGTGGGCCCCAGAGCTGTGTGGCCATTTACCGGGCCTACCACAGCTGTGCTCAGCTACACGACGGGGATGACTGTGCTTCTCTCCTGAGATTATCATGAGGAAGCGATGCAAGAAAAAGTATTTTATCATAAACTTGGCACAAGGTTAAGTCAATATATTTGTGAAATGAAGATGTTTGTTGAACCAAAATAGTAGATGTGATGTCAGAAACACATATTATAAAGTCCAGTCAGCAAATAGTGAGAGGGACAGATGGACAGGAAAACCAAACCAACAAGCGTGTCCCCATGGGGGACAAACAAGAACCCAAACGACTTGGGTCTGTTACTGAAAACACCGTAGTAGCCAGCAGACCCTCTCCACACCCAGAGATGGGATTTTTCTAGGTTTGGGGTAAGCTGGCCTAGACTACATAGCAAGACCCTGTGTCAAAAACAAACAAAAAATT